CCCATTGAGGTTGATATGCCGTAAAACAAAATAAACCAAACCAATCTAAACCAAAGATTACATATTCTATTCATACGAATCTATCCTAAATATGTTGTCGGCATTAAATAACCCATTGAGGTTGATATGCCGTAAAACAAAATAAACCAAACCAATCTAAACCAAAGATTACATATTCTATTCATACGAATCTATCCTAAATATGTTGTTGGCATTAAATAACCCATTGAGGTTGATATGCCGTAAAACAAAATAAACCAAGCCAATCTAAACCAAAGAATACATATTCTATTCATACGAATCTATCCTAAAAATGTTGTCAGCATAAATAACCCATTGAGGTTGATATGCCGTAAAACAAAATAAACCAAACCAATCTAAACCAAAGATTACATATTCTATTCATATGAATCTATCCTAAATATGTTGTTGGCATTAAATAACCCATTGAGGTTGATATGCCGTAAAACAAAATAAACCAAACCAATCTAAACCAAAGATTACATATTCTATTCATACGAATCTATCCTAAATATGTTGTCGGCATTAAATAACCCATTGAGGTTGATATGCCGTAAAACAAAATAAACCAAACCAATCTAAACCAAAGATTACATATTCTATTCATACGAATCTATCCTAAATATGTTGTCGGCATTAAATAACCCATTGAGGTTGATATGCCGTAAAACAAAATAAACCAAACCAATCTAAACCAAAGATTACATATTCTATTCATACGAATCTATCCTAAATATGTTGTCGGCATTAAATAACCCATTGAGGTTGATATGCCGTAAAACAAAATAAACCAAACCAATCTAAACCAAAGATTACATATTCTATTCATACGAATCTATCCTAAATATGTTGTCGGCATTAAATAACCCATTGAGGTTGATATGCCGTAAAACAAAATAAACCAAACCAATCTAAACCAAAGATTATATATTTTATTCATACGAATCTATCCTAAATATGTTGTCGGCATTAAATAACCCATTGAGGTTGATATGCCGTAAAACAAAATAAACCAAACCAATCTAAACCAAAGATTACATATTCTATTCATACGAATCTATCCTAAATATGTTGTTGGCATTAAATAACCCATTGAGGTTGATATGCCGTAAAACAAAATAAACCAAACCAATCTAAACCAAAGATTACATATTCTATTCATACGAATCTATCCTAAATATGTTGTTGGCATTAAATAACCCATTGAGGTTGATATGCCGTAAAACAAAATAAACCAAACCAATCTAAACCAAAGATTATATATTCTATTCATACGAATCTATCCTAAATATGTTGTTGGCATTAAATAACCCATTGAGGTTGATATGCCGTAAAACAAAATAAACCAAACCAATCTAAACCAAAGATTACATATTCTATTCATACGAATCTATCCTAAATATGTTGTTGGCATTAAATAACCCATTGAGGTTGATATGCCGTAAAACAAAATAAACCAAACCAATCTAAACCAAAGATTACATATTCTATTCATACGAATCTATCCTAAATATGTTGTTGGCATTAAATAACCCATTGAGGTTGATATGCCGTAAAACAAAATAAACCAAACCAATCTAAACCAAAGATTACATATTCTATTCATACGAATCTATCCTAAATATGTTGTTGGCATTAAATAACCCATTGAGGTTGATATGCCGTAAAACAAAATAAACCAAACCAATCTAAACCAAAGATTACATATTCTATTCATACGAATCTATCCTAAATATGTTGTTGGCATTAAATAACCCATTGAGGTTGATATGCCGTAAAAACAAAATAAACCAAACCAATCTAAACCAAAGATTACATATTCTATTCATACGAATCTATCCTAAATATGTTGTTGGCATTAAATAACCCATTGAGGTTGATATGCCGTAAAAACAAAATAAACCAAACCAATCTAAACCAAAGATTACATATTCTATTCATACGAATCTATCCTAAATATGTTGTTGGCATTAAATAACCCATTGAGGTTGATATGCCGTAAAACAAAATAAACCAAACCAATCTAAACCAAAGATTATATATTCTATTCATACGAATCTATCCTAAATATGTTGTCGGCATTAAATAACCCATTGAGGTTGATATGCCGTAAAACAAAATAAACCAAACCAATCTAAACCAAAAGATTACATATTCTATTCATACGAATCTATCCTAAATATGTTGTCGGCATTAAATAACCCATTGAGGTTGATATGCCGTAAAACAAAATAAACCAAACCAATCTAAACCAAAGATTACATATTCTATTCATACGAATCTATCCTAAATATGTTGTCGGCATTAAATAACCCATTGAGGTTGATATGCCGTAAAACAAAATAAACCAAACCAATCTAAACCAAAGAATACATATTCTATTCATACGAATCTATCCTAAATATGTTGTCGGCATTAAATAACCCATTGAGGTTGATATGCCGTAAAACAAAATAAACCAAACCAATCTAAACCAAAGAATACATATTCTATTCATACGAATCTATCCTAAATATGTTGTTGGCATTAAATAACCCATTGAGGTTGATATGCCGTAAAAACAAAATAAACCAAACCAATCTAAACCAAAGATTACATATTCTATTCATACGAATCTATCCTAAATATGTTGTTGGCATTAAATAACCCATTGAAATTGATATGCCGTAAAACAAAATAAACCAAACCAATCTAAACCAAAGATTAAATATTCTATTCATACGAATCTATCCTAAATATGTTGTTGGCATTAAATAACCCATTGAGGTTGATATGCCGTAAAACAAAATAAACCAAACCAATCTAAACCAAAGATTACATATTCTATTCATACGAATCTATCCTAAATATGTTGTTGGCATTAAATAACCCATTGAGGTTGATATGCCGTAAAACAAAATAAACCAAACCAATCTAAACCAAAGATTACATATTCTATTCATACGAATCTATCCTAAATATGTTGTTGGCATTAAATAACCCATTGAGGTTGATATGCCGTAAAACAAAATAAACCAAACCAATCTAAACCAAAGATTACATATTCTATTCATACGAATCTATCCTAAATATGTTGTTGGCATTAAATAACCCATTGAGGTTGATATGCCGTAAAACAAAATAAACCAAACCAATCTAAACCAAAGATTACATATTCTATTCATACGAATCTATCCTAAATATGTTGTCGGCATTAAATAACCCATTGAGGTTGATATGCCGTAAAACAAAATAAACCAAACCAATCTAAACCAAAGATTACATATTCTATTCATACGAATCTATCCTAAATATGTTGTCGGCATTAAATAACCCATTGAGGTTGATATGCCGTAAAACAAAATAAACAAACCAATCTAAACCAAAGATTACATATTCTATTCATACGAATCTATCCTAAATATGTTGTTGGCATTAAATAACCCATTGAGGTTGATATGCCGTAAAACAAAATAAACCAAACCAATCTAAACCAAAGATTACATATTCTATTCATACGAATCTATCCTAAATATGTTGTTGGCATTAAATAACCCATTGAGGTTGATATGCCGTAAAACAAAATAAACCAAACCAATCTAAACCAAAGATTACATATTCTATTCATACGAATCTATCCTAAATATGTTGTTGGCATTAAATAACCCATTGAGGTAAACCAAATATGCCGATAAAACAAAATAAACCAAACCATACAAGATTATAAACCAAACCGTATTTCATCATCCAGCAGTGCGATTCATAACCTAATCTATCCTCAAATATGTTGACAAAAACCCAACCGATTTGGTGTCATATGCCGTTTCTACCAAAATCTTTGCCAAAAATGAATCTCTCTCTCTCTCTCTCTCTCTCTCTCTCTCTCTCTATATATATATATATATATATATATATATATATATATATATTTCTTAAAACCAATCTATCCCGTACAAATTTGATTCTAGTTGATGGCTTTAAAAACAAACCACAGGTTTGATATGCCGAATACAAAATAAACCAAACCAATCTAAACCAAAGTTTTTGAATCCATATTCTATTCATAATGCTTGAACCTATCCTAAATATGTTGTCCTGTTATTTAAATAACCATTGCTGGTGGATATTCCGCCTTTCCCAAAATTAAATGTAACCAACTAAACCAAAGAAAACATATTCTATTCATCCGAATCTATCCTAAATATATATATATATAAGTTTAAATTTGGTGAACCGAATTGCCGTAAAACAAAATAAAATCCAAACCAATGTGAAGAAAGATTATATTTAATTCATACGAATCTATCCTAAATATGTTGTCTTATTTCAAAAAACCCATTTTAGGTTTGATATCAAATAACTCTTCCAACAAAACAAAATAAACAAACCATTATAAAAAAACACTACATATTTCTATTCATATTTTCCTCTATTTCATTCTTGGATGTTGTTGGCATTAAAAAACCCATTGAAATGGATTTTAGTGCCGTAAAACAAAATAAACCAAACCAATCTAAACCAAAGATTATATATTATATTCATACGAATCTATATATAAATATATATTGTTGGCCTAAATAACCCATTGAGGTATATATATATATATAAATATAAATAAACCAAACCAATCTAAACCAAAGATTATATATTCTATTCATACTGCATCTATATATATATATATATATATATATATATATATATATATTGAGGTTGATATGCCGTAAAACAAAATAAACACAAACACAATCACACAAACCATATATATATATATATATATATTATATACCGCATTCATATGAATTTTGATCCTAAATATTTGTTGGACATTAAATAACCCATTGAGGTTGATATGCCGTAAAACAAAATAAACCAAACCAATCATAAACCAAAGATTACAAATTCTCCCTCATACGAATCTATCCCAAATATGTGTTGGCATTTAATAGATTGTGAATGATAAAAAAAAAACCAAATAGATAGATTGATATTTCTGGACTCATGTTATTCCATTTCAGTCAATCTTGTTCCCTTCCTATAAAAAGATTATATTATTTATCAGACCGTACTTTCGATGTATCACAAACCAGACAATGACGACTAGATAAACATTTTTTAAAAGATATGACATAAAAAACAACCGATTTGGTTCAGTCAACATTTTCCTTTTCACTTTGATCCATACTTGATAGAATGAGTCAGTTGGATCTGTAAACCGCTCTCTTATATGGTGCTGTTGAGATTAAAATGGCAATTAGGTTTTTCTCTATATATATATAAAAAGACGCCAACCTTGCTAAAACAAAATTTTATTGTCTAAATATATATATTATTATTTAGAGGAAAGACCCCAGTTTTTTAATTAAAAAAAAGCCTTCTTTTTTAGACTTCTAAATTTACATTAAAATTTGATTCTATTTGTGATGGCTTCGTGCAAAAACAAACCACACGTTTTGGGAAGAGCCGAATATGAGACACATTAATTTGAAAATGCCACAAAATGTCCCCAAACGACACTCCTCAGAAACTTTGAAACTATTCACAGATGATCCTTATCCGAAAATGTTTTTTTTTGAAAGGCATATAGAAATATTTTGTCCTAAATATTTATTCCCCCATAACTAATTTTATGGAAACGCTTCCCATGAAATTCGTAATGAACTCTAGAATCGGTTTTCTGATTCATTAATTAAAAAGCACAGGGCTTTGAGGAATGCAAATCATGTTTTTTTTTTTAATTGGAAACCCAGTACCTGAAAATCAGCTCTGAATTGTAACCGCAAAACTCAATAAAACAAATATATTATACATTTCAAACACACACACACACACACAATACACACACACACAAAAATTTTTATATATAAATATTTTTATATATATTTGTTATTTATAATTATAATATATATATATATATAAATATATATATATATTAAAAAGCCGCACAGGCTTTCATATATATATATATATATATATTTTTATTAAATTGTATCATTTTTTTTTAATCATATATATATATATATTATAATCCACTGCAATTTTATATATATATATATATATATAAATATATATATATATATAATTCCATTTGAGTTAAGCATTGTTCTCCGCTATTATATATATTTAAATATATATATATATATATTTTCAATAAATATAAAAAGGAACATAGAAGTATCAGTATCATCTTATGGCGACAGTCTGTTTTATGCTATATGCAATCGTCAGGCCGACATTTTTATAAATTATCAAAATTAATAATAAAATGAATGCAAATACAAATTATCCCATAAATAAATGCACAATTTAAGACTATATTTCTTTCTGATATATATATATATATATTATACTTAGATACCTTTCCCCATATATATAATTTTGATATTACCAGCAATTTTAAATTTGTTTTACAATAAATAAGACATGAAGGTTGATATACCGTAAAAGAAAAAAAAAATCCTAAAGTTTTCGTTAAAATAAACCAAATCATTTGCGTCTCGGATTATTTACTTTTCTCCTTCCAGAACAAATTACCTCCCTCCGAATTCATGCTATAAATTCATCCCATATAATGCCAAAGGTTTAACCTGTTTTGATTTATTTTCAAATTACATCTTTTTTTACCATTAAGTAAGGAATTTGGTTCAAAAATATTTTAAATCCATTTATAATTTCTGATTTTCTTAAAATCCTATTTGAAAAATGGAATTGATATTTAAAAATTTCAAAGTAATTTCCAGATGGAAAAATAATAATTTGCTGAAAAAAAAATAGATTTTACTGTCAAACATTTTTAAAAAGACATGTCGATAATAAACGGCGATTCTTTCAGCACCAACATTTTCCTTTTTCTTTTTGTAAGTGTTTATACACCAATACTTGAACAAGGAACGGCCAGTTGGATCTGTAAACCGCCTTGTTATATGGTGCTGTTGAGATTAAAATGGCAATTAGGTTTTTACAATATGCTGTTGATTTCCGAACCGGTTTTGTATTCAGGTTTTTGGTTCTCCTAGCCTGATTACCAAACAATGTTAAAGACTTCAGTCTTCTTATTTATTTAGCTAGAGAATAGCAGAGATATGAGTCATAAATTCTTCGAGGATATTTGAGCGCAATTTGGAATTTCAGCCGGAATTTGAACTCGCCTGGTTATTTCACTTTCCAATTTGTTAATCGCTATACATCATTAAAAATACAAAGGATATTCCATCAACGTTTAATAAAATTACATGTTAGTCCCAGCATTGTTTAAAGAACAAAAAGTAGACATGGCGGGAATTTCAAAAGAGGAACTTAACTTCTTAAACTATGTTGAACGGATGAAGAATGGAGAAAAAAGCAAAAAAAGTTTGCGATTTGTATAATTTAGATTAAACCAGTCTGTTTCAGTGAATCGTCCTGATGTGGGCATTGTTAAATGCTAGCCTCGTTCTGATAAGCATCTATCATTTTTCGACTCTTGCTCATCATGTATTGGTAGCAAAATACCTGATATTTCAAACGTTTAAATATGGTCAAAGTATCGTTTGCTTGGTTCACTTATCTCCACGAAATGGCATTTTCTTTTACTCTTTTTGGCTATGATTTTTCGTTGGTCCAAATCTTCATCTGTCTTTCCGCTGAGGATAGATGTGGCAGGACGTCATTTTTCCTGTTGTTTTCCGTATCACTGATAAAATCAAAACATCTGCTGTGGTCAGTTAATGCATTTTCTCAAACGGCTTTTATTATTCTTTCTTTTGCTTTCGCCCGCTCTCTCTTGCTTTCTTCCCCTTTTTCTTCTTTGTTTCCTCTCTTCGTTACTCAATTCCTCCAATCACCCACTCTCTCATACTTCTTTATTTTCCTTTCACTATTCTTTTCTTTCTTTCTTGCTTTACTCCTTCCATTTTTCGCCTTACTCTTTTTTCAGTTCTTTCATTTCCTTCCTTCATTCTTTTTCTTCTTCCATACCATCTTCCCCCTTTCAAACCTTCGTCCCTTTGTTTCTTACTTCTTTCCTTATTGATTCCTTTCCATTTTCCTTCTATACCCCCACATTTTCTTCATTTTTTCTTCATTCCAAAGACCTTTTTAAATTTCATCCCTTTTAATGCACTTACCTCCCTTGATTACTTCAGGATTTGTTTATTTAACTTTTTTCTCTTATAGAATAAAACGACTTTCGTAATCGTTCTCTTCTTTCTTTTTATCTACATTTATTTTTTCGTATATATGCAAAATTCTTATGAATATAAATATTATTTGTAGTGGGTACATGAGTTGGAATTGCTATCTATGCCTTTTACATTTATTTTATTAAACAGTGAAATTAATTATAACCGTCTTAATCTGAGAAGTCCAACCAAAGAAAAAATGAACCCCTGACAGAAGCACAAACAAAAGACTGTACAAAAACTCAGAAACCATATCACTACACACCCATTTATATATATATACATACTTCGCCTTGAAATAGATCTAATAATAGTGCAATATATATATATATATATATAGTACAGGTAATAGGTCTGTTGGTATATAATTCAGGTGGATCCTAATAAAACAAATATTAAAACTGATCCACAGCGAGCTCAATGTCTTTATTATAACACACACACACACACACACACACACACACACACACATATATATATATATATATATATATATATATATATATATATATATATTAGAGCTGAAGACGGCTGGTTCAGAACAGCAACAAATAGACTATTCTCATGCTGAGGTAATTTTGGTTTTTGCCCTAATGTGTGTGTGCATATATATATATATATATATATATATATATATATGTGTGTGTGTGTGTGTGTGTGTGTGTGTGTGTGTGTGTGTTATAATAAAGACATTGAGCTCTCTGTGGAGTGTGTGCCACTGAATATTGATGTCAATGTTCGTATTCATATATATATGTGTGTGTGTGTGTATATATATATATATATATATATATATATATATATATATATATATATAAATATACAATGTGTCACTTTACTGATTGATGTTATATTCATCACCTCTACTCCAGGTTTCGTAGCCGAACCTTTATGTAATATTTCGGTCCGCTCGTCAGGAGATTTCACCAATGGTCTTTGGATTTTCTCATTTTCATTATTTTTATATTAAATAATTTGTGCGTTTTTTTTTATTAGTCTTAGTTTGATTATTTTCTTCTTCTTTGTGTGCGTGTATGTATTTGTGCATTTCCTTACGTGCGTCTATGTCTGAACGGAAGCGTTTGTCTGGGATGTCGCGGTAATTTTCTTCTTTTCATAATTTTCTTCTTTTCATAATTTTCTTTTCCTTCTTTCACTCTCTCACTATTCCATTTTGTTTCTGTACTCTATCTTCAGGTTCTGAGTGTCAAAAGAAATTGTAACAATATCCGGTAACAGATACAGAAATCGTACTTTTTTAAAAAATATTCTTGTGTTTTCTTAAGTTTTTGGAAATATAGTTTTATTCCGTCTTTTATTTATTTATTTATTTATTTATTCCTTGTTTAAATATTTCTTTTTTAATTATACAAGAATGGCATTCGTTTATCAAAGCTTTTAAGCTCCAGAACGTTCATGAGAATTCATCAGGTGGTTGAAAGGTCAATCAAAACATGTAGAGAACACAGGGTGACATAATACAAAGTCTGGTAAAACAAAATCTTACCAATCTCACGTTTCCTGAAAGATTTACTATCTTCCCAAGCCAACATAGACGAACACAAAAATGCTAAAAATCAAAAGAAAACACTCAAAATTTACCTCATGTATTTGAAGAAGTAGATCAACTACGTCCATTCCAAACTATATCAATCTATCTTAATTTAAACAGTATTCATTTATTAAAAATATATTTCTTGAATATTACTCGCTAACTTTTGTCTTGCCACACTTTGAATAAGGACATTTTGTGCCCTCCACACGCTTTGATTCGCCTTTCACTCACCTGATAAATATTCATGAATGTTCCAAATTTAAAATCTTTGATAAATCAATAATATCCT